TCTTTGCGTGCACATTTGGGCGGCGTTATGCAAATCTTCCCACATAGTGAGGTAGATATGTGGGGGCATGTTAGAACGAGCCATTTTAGGTAGGTGTGGCTGACTCTTAACTTTTATAAAGAATATCTCTTTGGATTTGAGACTTTAGTCTTTACAACTTTACAGATGTTCTTTATGCACCAAGAGCTTGTAACACTCCAAAGAGAAAGGAAAAATTGAAATCGCATCATATGACCCCTTTAAAATAAATATTACATGTACACAAAGCTGTGGGGTCAGTAGCAGCAATATTGTGAAATATAACAATTAAAAATAACTATTTTCTATTTTAATATATTTTAAAATGTAATTTAAAATGCATCTGTGATCAAAGCTGAATTTTCAGCATCTCCAGTCTTCAGTGTCACATGATCTTCAGAAATCATTCTAATATCATTTGCTGCTCAAGAAACATTTCTGATTATTAGGCTATTGCTGCTTCATATTTGTGTGGAAACTGTTGCATTTTTCATAATTAATTTTATATATAGTGACAATGTTATGTAATGTAATGTAATAATGTGGCAATGGTTTCTTAAGATCTACTTATGCTTCTGATGCCTTTGGTAAACGCAGCCCTATTTGAACAAGCACTGTGACTGAGCCATGCGTCAGCAGCGAACGCTGTCTGTGATGGATTGCTTCTGTCTTTCAGCATCTGCGTGTGTTCTGATGAGCAGGAGAAATGCTTCTATCCTACACAATTATTCGCTAATATCGTCTATTTTTCCACTTAGAAGCTTATTTTATGCACCGAATTTCTTGATAAATAAAATTAATGGTTAAAAAATCAATATTTTTATGTGAGGATCGATCCTTTCGATACAACATCAGTATCGAAAGTATCGACACTTAAAGGTGCTGTATGTAGGATTGACACCGAGTGGTTGAACTAGGTATTGCAGTCCAAATTCAAAATATAGAGGGTTTTTTTTCACCTGGCCCCTCCTCCTCAGACTTGACGCACATGCAGGTTGCCAGATTTACGACACCAACAGGAACGAGCGCACTTGAGAGGAATGCATGGGCGTCGGTAGGCCATTTTTAGGGGGCTATAGCCCCCCTAAAATGATTACTCAGCCCCCCTAAAAAATGTGTGATTAGCTCCATAAACTGTACACGAATTCGTGATGCCTCAGTCCCCTTTAAATTTCATATGAAAACGGCGGCAGACTTCGGCTCCTCCCAGTCTTTCAGCGCGCTCTACATTCCGCAGCGGCGCAGAGCGAGAAACAGAGGACAAGCTGTGTGTTTATCGATAGCTTGTTACAATATCTGCATCTGTGCAGTTCTTTGTCATAAAGTCAGTTTACAAAATATCATGAGGGAGCAATCGGTTTTCCATTGCCATTTTTATTTGAAATTTTTACTTTTAATATAAAACATATTAATTACAGTGCATATGGCAAATAGTTTTGCATACTTGAGCTAAAGAAGGAAGGTTGTACTAGAAATGCAAACAGTAAAATTTTGTTTGTACAGCAAACAGGTGTGTGTGTGTGTGTACCTACTTAACCATATTTTGGGGGCAAATTTGTACCCAAAAGTGAGCTAAACATGACAAAATCTCCAAAAACCTCCCTTTGGGGACGTCCTCATTTGTAAAACTGGTATAATAATAAAGTAAACAAAGTTTTGTTTTAAATTGTAAAAATGCAGAAAGTTTCCTGTAAGGGGTAGGTTTAGGTGTAGGGTGATAGAATATACAGTTTGTACAGTATAAAAACCATT